TCCCTCCCTCCCTTCCTCCCTTCCTCTCTCTCTTTCTTTCTTTTTTTCCCTAGACAATGTTTCTCTGTGTAACAGCCCTAGCTGTCCTGGAACTCATGGAAACCTGTCTGCCACTGCCTCTCAAGGACTAGGATTAAAGGTGTGCACTAATATGCCCAGCTCTAAATAAAATCTTAAAAATAAATAATTTATTTAATCTTATTACTGTTGCTGTTGTTAATTTGTTGGGTTTGAGGCAGGGTCTCATGAAGCCAATGCTAGCATGGAATTTGGAAGTCTATGGTGATTGCAATAGAGCCCAGGATGACCCTGAACTTCTGATCTACTTGTCTCCACTAACCAAGAGCTGGGATTACTGGGGTGTACCACTGAGCCCACCTAAGACATTTTGTTCCTTTTCTTTTTCTTTCCCGTATGGCTGGAGATTAAACTCAGGGCCTCATCCATGCTAGGTAAGTGATCTGCCACTGTGCTACCAGTCTGGTATTTGAATTACTATTTTTTGGGGGGACAGAACTCGGAATGGAGCCCAAGCTTCACATATGCTAGGTAGGTCCTTGACCACTGTGCAACACCTTAGCCTTTTCCTTAAACTATTTCTTGTTTCTTTGGTTGGTTTTCTGAGACAAGGTCTCATTATGCAACCCTGGATGGCCTGTAAATGACTGTGTAGACCAGGCCTGACTCTGCTGGGATTAAAGGCATGTGCCACTATGCCTAGCTTTCTTAAGCTATTTTGCATAATAGTACTATGTGCCATAAACATTTTTTGTACATCCTTCCTAGGATACAGGCCTAATAAAGTTATTTCCAGAGTAAGATTATTGAGTTGTTGCATTCAAGTTGATAGTCAATATGCTACCAGTCTACCCACGAGACCCCCACCTCAGCCCACTCCACAGACTGAGTTCTCAGGAGCTCTCACTGTTTTCTATCTTTGTCAACGCTCAGAGTTCAACCAGAGTTCAAACTGAAGAGTTTTAGCTCACCTCTAAGCCTTTTTCTAAACAGTTCTTTCTTAAGAGGGCACTGGCTTGAGTGTGCAGTTATTAACCTTTTGAGATCTCCATGTGATAAGCTGTAGGAAATGTGATGTCCACACTCAGGAACAAGTGGAGACTGAAGGAGAACACTACAGGACAGCTCAAAACCATTCTCAGTCTCCTGCCTGAGAAGCTACCTTGTCCCATCTACTCCCAGCCCATCTCTTTTCACTCCCCATGACCCCTAGGGGGATAGTTATCTGGATGTCTGCATGTCTCACTAGGCCCCACTGGCAGCTTAGTAATGAAATCCCTCTAGATAGGATCCAGGGAAGATATCCTATGTCAGATCCCGCTTTGGAACAAGGATCGTTAGACTAATCAACTGTTTTGAGTCCACAGAGTTTTCATAGACAACTATGTAATAGGACTGTGTCTGATTCTTGTCTTTAGTGGGTTTGTTCTAGTGAGGCCCCCTAAACAAAAAAGCCCAAAGGAGTTCTAGTTAGGCAGCCCAGTGCCTCTTCCTCTACCTGTCAAACCATCTGTTTGGGGATCCGACTGTTAAGCCTGTCTTCTTTCTGTCTATGGGAGCTCTCCACTCTCCTGTCACTTCTGTCTGTTTGCTGTATGTAACCAGGGCATGTGTTTTCACATGTGCTCCTATAAAACTGTGATGTGTGTGTAGGTGAAGATGAAGATGAGCTCTTCACCAGGGCTCATCCCACACTACAGCAGGCATTTGTATAGGAGGAGAAGTGGGCATCTTGAAGAGGGGTCCTAGGGAGAGCTGGCTTTGAGAATGTGGGTGTGTTCAGGGGGTCGGGGGGTTCTGTGAGGGAGCTGACAGAGGATACTTAGCTGGAAAGGACCAGCCCATGAAGCAGCCGTTTCCAACACTTGCTGAATGGAGCATGTGGACAGGGTTAGCCTCATCCTTGTAATCATCACCTAAGGCCGCACATGACAGGAAGTAAGCCCTAAGACAAGTTAGAAACTCGCGCATTTATCTTGCTTTACACTCAAGGTTCTACAAATTCATCCTTCTCCTGAGAAGGAGGACATATTCCTCTGTTTCTGCATGCTGGACCAGTGGCCTAGAGTATACTTTTAGTAAAGGTTGACAAAAGACCCTACCATACCACACATACGACAGGCATAGAAGGTTTCCAAGCACAAGATAAGGGAGTCAGGCCTTCCTTCCTTCCTTTTTTCCCCCCTTTCTTTTCTTTTCTTTTCTTTTTTGGTTTTTTGAGACAAGGTTTCTCTGTGTAGTTTTGGTGCCTGTCCTGGATCTCACTCTGTAGACCAGGCTGGCCTCAAACTCACAGAGATTCCGCCTAGCTCTGCCTCCCGAGTGCTGGGATTAAAGGCGTGCATCATCGCTGCCTTGCAGGCCTTTCTTTACAGTCCTCAATTCTTCCAATGAGCTAGAACTTGCCATCAAGCAGAAGGAGATACACAGAGGTAAAGTCAGAACTCAGTTCTGCAGAACCAGGCTGCATAATTCCAGAGGTTTCCAGGGCCAACAGGAAGATCCCTATTATAAAGAGGTCAGACTATTGATGGCATTGAGAAGGTGTTGAGAAAAGAACACAGGAGCCAAAGCGTGGGTATGAGAGAATCTCCCAATAGGAGAGTTGCCAGGCAGAGAAGAGAATAAGCCTAGTGTTGCTGCAAAGCACAAGGCACGGGACAGATCATGAATGCACTCGACTGTCTGCTCTCCCCCTCCCTTCCTTCACACTTGTCACCAATGGCACCACCAGCCCCGGGCAGGCCTCCCAATGCCTGTCGGTCTCTTTATTCTCCAGTCTGCCTCAAATCCTCTCCACATTCCCTAACTCACTGCCATCCTGTCCCAAACCTATGCAGGCAACAATATCCCATTACTGAATGGAGGACACAAGATGGGAGCCCTCTCACTCCCAAAACTACTTCACAGCAAGCTCCCCACATCCACTTGGCTCCTGGCCCTCCTTCTCAGGTAAGGTCCTCCACTGTTCTGCCTCCCTCCTCCCCACCTCCACACAAAGTAGCTACAGAGGGCTACAAGCTTTTTCCTTTTTCTATTGTTTCAGGAGGACAGTAATATTCAGGATGCACATATGTTCCTTTTGTGGGGAGTCCTAGGTCTTTAGCCTTCTCTTTGCTGTCCTTCCTCTAGCAGGTTATTTAAGGACAGACATACTCTTTCAGCCTAGATCCCTCCCCTTCTTAGCCTCTCCTACCCAGTACATAGTCCTCATACCTACAAGAACCCTTCTCTGACCCCAGGCTGAGTGGAAGCCTGCTTAAATTTCTCTCTCTTTCTTCCTTCCTTCCTTCCTTCCTTCCTTCCTTCCTTCCTTCCTTCCTTCCTTCCTTCCTTCCTTCCTGTCTGCCTTCCTTCCCTCTCTCTCTCTCTCTCTCTCTCTCTCTCTCTCTCTCTCTCTCTCTCTCTCTCTCTCTCTCTCTCTCTTTGTTGAAACAGGATTTCTCTTACATAGCCCTGGCTGTCCTGGAACTCACTTTGTACACCAGGCTGGCATACTCAGAGATGTGCCTGCCTCTGCCTCCCTAGTGCTGGGATTAAAGGTGTGTGCCACTGCCACCCTGCCCCTGCTTAAGTTTCTATAGCATGCTGAAGTGTACTCCATAGCCATTAGCAAAACCCTCAGTAAGACCTGGATCTGCCTTTTAGCCTCCATGATGGGAGAGGCCCACATCTGCTAGGCTACCTAGTCTCATCACAACCCTGCTAGTATGCAGCACACTAGGAGCCATGGGCACAAGAGAGGACCATAGAGAGAAACCATGCTTGGATGGGACACACAACACTGTCTCCTAGGCTCCTCAGACCCAGTCCTGGGTTGCAGTGGCTATATTCCCAGGCCTCTGAATCTCAACTAGAGGACTTCCTGTTCCCATCAGACTCCACAAAGCATCTTTGGCAGGCATAGGCTACCAGGAACCCCAGCTGGTGTGGCTGTGGTCTCACATCTGGCTACCAGGAAACCTAGGAGAACTTAGAGGCCAGTACTGAGAGCCACATGAAGATGCCTGAAGCTTACCTTTTCCGTGGCTGGGATCCAATCTGCTTGACAGCCTGTTCCTCTGTGTAAAAGAGCAGGCTTCTCTGCAAGGTCGACACGAGCAGCACTTTCTGGCTGTAATCCAGCTGCACAATGGAAGACGGCTCTTCCAACACCAGGTGTGAGCTGCAGGTACCCTGGGAGAGAGCCAGGCCGGGGGTCAAAGCTGCCCAGCTGCCCCCCAGCGGTCACACATACTTCTTGCTAATGTACTGAACTCAAAAGTACTCTGTGGTACCAGGCACGGTGTGCATACCTACAATCTCAGCACTTGGAAGACAGAGGCAAGAAGATCAAGAGTTCAAGGTCATTCTTGGCCATATAATAAGTCTAAGGTCAGTCTGGGCTACACGAGACCCTGTCACAACAAAACAAAACAACAACAAAAAATATGCTTTAATTTTCTCCAGATTCATTGTTAACCTACTGCAATGACATCTGGAAAATTCCTTACTAACAAGAAAACAATAAATATTAACAACTATCTCATACTATACCAAGGTTGAAAAGAAACATTAAAAAAAAAAACCTACATATTTCTCTAATAATGTTCTAGTAAATAATTCAAAGAAGAATCCATTAAAAATATGCCATACCATGTGTATTAAGTATCTTATAACATATAGGAGAGTATGATTGTCTAGGAAATCCCTGTGACAGTGATCTGCTCTCATAGTCTCTCTACAAGGAGTCTGAAGCAACCCTGTAGGCATTATATCCTTCCAACTGGAAGGGTCACAGAAAACACGTTAGAAAGAAATCAGAGGCATGGCTCAGCAGATAAACAGGCTTGTCACACAAGCCTGATAACCTGAGTTCAAGCCTAGGAACCCATTATTGAAGTACAGAACTGACTCCTGAAAGTTGTCCTCTGACCTTGACACGTGACCTTGAATTCTCCATACTCCTCCTTACGCACGCGCGCGCGCACACACACACACTAAATAAAAATGTATTAAATACATGATTAATAGCGTTTTATAGACACACAGTGACTTTCTAAAGGCATTTTACTGTTTTGTTTTTAAAGATTTATTTATTATGTATACAATGTTCTGCCTGAATATATGCATGCAAGCCAAAAGAGGGCACCGGATCTCATTACAGATGGTTGTGAGCCAACATGTGGTTGTTGGGAATGGAACTCAGGACCTCTGGAAGAGCAGCAGGTGCTCTTAACCTCTGAGCCATCTCTTCAGCCCCATTTTACTGCTAATACAAAACACATTCATGTATCAAAAATCTGATTTTAATCCAGGTATGGTGGTACATGCTGCTAATCCCAGCATTCAGGAGACTGAGATAGGCTTTGCTGTGAGTTCAGAGCCAACCTGAGCTATATATAAGACTCAGCCTCAAAAAGCCTGTTTCTGTCCCTCTTGGCCTCGCGGCCTCTCCTGGTTCCATCAGCGGTCTGCTCACAGAGGAGGGGAAGATGAGCAACAACCGCAGCAGCACTTTGATCAGCTGTCTAAGAATAATGCTGTAAGAGCTGGCGTGGTGCAGGCCTTTAATCCCAGCAGAGCTGGGCAGATCTCTACGTTCAAGGCCAGCCTGGTCAATATACCAAGTTCAAGGCCAGCCAGGGCTGCACAGAGAGACTGTCTCAAAACAAAAACAAACAAACAAAAAGAATAATGCCACTTTACTGACCCTTCGTGTGTCTGAGAGGACAATAATGAGATCCACTGATAAAATCTATACACAGTAAAATCCACCATTTTTAGGTTTCTGACTTCAATTTTCATATATTTATAGTTATCTAACTACACCACAATCAACCACAACCAAGATGGTGAAATTTCCATTCTCTCCAAATACTGAGAACTTTGAAGGCAAATTCCCCTTCATCTGAGTTATTCAGAATGTAACTTTACAGTTTTTAACTTAGCCTATGTTAGGGTTACACTATGCTGTATTTCATAAAAACAAGTATTCTCTTGTCTTTTTTCCAAATCTCATTAAGCACCTGCATCTTTTAAAATACGTTTTCAAGGGCTGGAGAGATGGCTCAGCAGTTAGGAGCATGGGTTGCTCTTCTAGAGGCCCTGGGTTTGGTTCCTAAGACGCACAAGGAGACTTCCATTTTCTGAAAGCTTGAGTGGCTTTCTCTTGGCTTCTTTAGCAATCTGCTCATAGGGACAGGAATGGATGACAGGGAGCAACAACTCCATAGAAGCACCAGGAAAGAGCAGAATCTAAACCCTTGATACCTTGACAAGAGATGTTCCCACAGAACAGCAGTTCTAAGTGGAATCCACATACCCCTAGGCCTCTAAGACTCTCTCATAGCATACGCCAGGCCCAAACCATTTTCATAGAATACTGAGATAGTGTTACATGGCCTTTATCTGAAGTGTAAAATTGTATTTTATGTGTATGGGTGTTTTGCCTGATGTATGTTTATATACCACATATGGACCTGGTAGCCGCGGAGGCCAGAGGAGGGTGTCAGATTCTCTGGAACCGGAGTTACAGATGGTTATGAGCTATCATGTGAGTGCTGAGAATTGAACCTAGGTCTTTTGGTAAAGCAGCCTGTGCTCTTAACCCTTGAGCCATTGATAAACCAGCCTGCCTCCAACTTAGGCTTCAAAGCCATCTTACAGTAAAGACAAACTAGGTCCATTCATGTTTATGAGCAAATCTCTGTTTCTCAAGTATTGGGTCATGCCTCACCTGCAACCTTAACTACAGATGGTAGTTATACTGCCTGCTGCAGGAACTGGCAACCATGTCTTTGTTTCTAATGGTTGTTATGAGCACCTTTTTATGTTGCTCCCATAATTCTGTCTATTTGCCTGCCAAATCCCCTATTTGGAAACCCCCTACCTTGGTGCTATAAAAACTCTTATCTTGCCCGTGTTCAGTGCTGATCTCTTGAACCCCACCTGTAGGGGGAGACAGCCCATGGACCCAAATTAAAAACACTTGCTTTAATTTATTTGGCCATCTCTCCATCTGCATGCCCTTTCCACCACTATTGCTGTTTGGCTACATGGATGTGTCATGCCCTACAAACTGTCCTCTAAAGGCTTTCACTGAAAGCACAGGAACCACTGTGTATAGAGCCACTTGGAACCTCATCATGAACCCTGACCACTGCACCAAACTCTACAAAAGTCACCATTCCCCCACCACAAATTCACACTAAAAATATGATCTTGATGGAGAAAAATGGTAATTTCACCCCTAGGAAATGGTGGTTTTACACTGGATATGATCAAATGGAATGTGCACACACGGACCTCCTGCAGAATGAAGCACACTGAATCTCAAGGAAAAGAACCTGTAGCTGGTGGTGGTGGTACATGCCTTTAGTCCAAGGGCTCAGGAGGCAGAGGCAGGTGGAACTTTGAGTTCGAGGCCAACCTGGTCTACAGAGTGAGTTCCAGGACAGCCAGGGCTACACAGAGAAACCCTGTCTTGAAAAACAAAACAAAACAAAAAACAAAACAAAACAAAACAAAACAAAACAAAAAGCCCCCAATCAAATGCTTTCTTTTATAAGAGTTGCCTGATCATGGTGTGTCTCTTCAGAGCAATAGAACGCTGACCAAGACAGAATCTCTCCAACCCCTGCGGGTGCTTTTGGCTGCCCACTAAAACCAGATGATAACTCCTGTTGCTGAAGACACCCACGCTTAGGTTGCAGGACACAGAGAAATCAAGCAAGAACTGAGCTGGAAGCTTACTCCTTGCCTCCCAGTTTTCAGAGTGCCAGAAGGTAGTGCTATGCAGGTTTCTAGAGGAAAAAAAAATCATCAGCCCTACCCCATTTTGGATCCACCTGTCAGGCAAAGTATGCCAAAGGTCCACACCACAGGAGGGAATGCATGCTTGCTATTAGAAAGCTGGTCAAAAGCCCACAACTAGAGAGGTCATAGGTACTAGCAGGGAAGCTACTATTGCTGTTTTGCTAAATGGACATGTTGTACCCATCAAACTACCTTCTAAATATTTGTGTTTATGCTCTTAGATTAGTGCTTCTCTCAGTGTTAATCAGAGAAGCTTCTTTTTGCAGTGGGTAGAATTTAACTGAAAAAATTCAAAACTGGTCAAAGTGCCGAGAAAACATGACTATTGGATGCTTAGCCCTAAACAGGACATCTATATTGTCCCCTTCAAGGCTCAAAGAACATCTCAGAAAGAGGGGGAGCAGAATAAGAGCCTCAAGACAGGGAAGAGTGTTGTGTAATGTTATCTTCTGGGCATGATATGGTCATGAACTCATTGTAACTATGACTACCTACACAAGACCAGTGTAAGATTGGTCTCATCAGCCTTCCAAATGGACAGGGGAGGGGCTCACAGGACCCACTGGCAGTCAATGGTTGCTTGGGGAGAGATCTTCTCCAGTGGTGTAGCCACTAGTAGTAAGGTGTCCATGCTCTTGTAAAAATAACCTCCAACATCCATGTACATGTAAGCAGCCCTAATTAAACTCATTAGGTCACACACATACAAGAAAGAAATGGGGGTGGGGGAGGAGATGGGGAGGAAAAGAAGGGAAGGGAAGGAAACCTCCATGTAATTTTTTGGTTTGCGTGTTTTGTTTTGTTTCTGGTTTTTTGAGACAAGGTTTCTCTGTATATCCTTGCTGTCTGGCCTGATGGCCTGAGTTTGATCCCTGGGACCCACAAGGTGGAAGGAGAGCTGACTCCTGCAAGTTGTCCTCTGACCTCCACACACACTGGGGAAGTGTGGGGAAGGCCCCATGCCCCACTCAAAGTAAATAAAAGTGAAAATGTAGACCACATACAGCCCCGGGTGCTCCGACGAAGAGGTAACTGGGGTAGAACACCGCGCTCCTGTTAAGTCTCTCCACCACTTCCTCCACAGGTCTTCCGTGGAAGATGCTGGCTGCAGCTAAGCTCCCCATTCACTGGATCACTACCCTTTGTCCACAGACATGACTGGAAACGTGTACAATTTGTCCTTTTGTTCCTTTTGAGATACTTGAACTATGTAACTCCAGCTGGCTTGGCACTTTCTATGCAACCCAGGCTGGCTTTAAACTCATGGAAATCCTCCTATTTCAGCTCTCAGGGGCTGGAATTACAGGGCAGCGCCATGTCTGACTCAAATATATGATTTTCACCATTGGTTTTGCAGGCCAACTCTTTAGTCACAGTAAAAGAAGCTTACAAACCACTGGAAACATCCATGAGAGAAAACGCTGTAACAACTGGCAGTAGAAGGGCACCGTGGTGGAGAGCACAAGCCACTGAGTGTGAGCAAGACTGAGACACACTACAGATAAAGGAAGGCGATGGACAGCATCTCTGAAGATCACCTCACCTGATCCAGATCTAGAGAGGAGTAGACGATCTTCCCCTTGTCATCTCCGGAGAACAGCTTCATCCCGTTGGGGCTCCAAGCCAGAGCTGTGATGCTGGTTTTATGAACACCAGTGACATCAAATCTCCGAAGCTATGGGGACAGCAGAGCAAAGGAAGGGAGAGCTGAGTGACTGCAGTTATGGGACTGTCACTCCTACTCTGGGGGAGCTGGTTTCCCACACACAACTGTGCACAAGGTTCCCTCTGTCTACCCACACTGGAAACTCACAAGATGGCTCATCGGATAACAGCAATTGTGGCCGAGCTTGGGATGTGAGTTTGATCTCTGGAACCCATATGAGAACGAGAGAACTGACTCCCCTAAGTTGTTCTCTGAGTGTAAAGTTCCCACTTTACAACATGAAAATAATTCTGGGAATGGAGGATAATAATGGATGACTATACACTGTAGATATACTGTGTACCAAAACGTATTCTAAATGGTAATTTGGGATTCTGTATATTGTAATAATAATAATAAAAAAAAAAAAAGGCAGAGATCCTAGAAAAAATTGTCTTTCTGACTTGTATACATTTCCAGTCAGAAATTTATATGCTGCAGCCCAGGGCCTACTTTCATGGTTCTCACTCACCTGCCCACGCTGCACACGTGCGCGCGTACACCCACCCACCCCCACACACAAAATATAATTTTAAAAAAACTCACAAAGAACACAAGAGTACATTAAGTAAAAGTAAGAGCACTAATATGTGCTTTATGCCAAATGTCCCGTGCAGGGACAAAGATATCACCCAGTTATAAGCAGCACAATGTCATGGTAAATATATGATTTCTAGGCAGAGAAGGACCGCCACACCTTTCTTTTTTTTTTTTTTTTTTTTTTTTTTGAGACAGGGTCTTACTACTGTAGACCAGGCTAGCCTCAAACTCACAGGGACCCACCTATCTCAGCCTTGAGAGTGCAGGGATTAAAGGCGTGTACCACCATACCCAGCTCTGAGGATTTCTCATCTTAAAAATCCCGAGGAACCTGCCAAGAAGGGAAGCAATGCTAGAACCTGAGCACTCACCTGCTTGTTCCTCCCCGGCAATGAGGACACAAGTTGGAAAACTGCAACCTTCCCAGAGGCGGTGCCTGCTGCCACAAGGTCATCAAAGCAACTCAGCAGCTTCACCACGGTGATAGACTCCATCTTCCCCTAAAGGAGGACACGTCAAAAACAAACTACCTGTGACCAGAGACACTTACACGAAAAAAAAGTAGCTGTAAAGCCAGAACCACGAAAGTAGGCCCTGGGCTGCAGCATATAAATTTCTGACTGGAAATGTATACAAGTCAGAAAGACAATTTTTTCTAGGATCTCTGCCTTTTTTTTTTTTTATTATTATTATTACAATATACAGAATCCCAAATTACCATTTAGAATACGTTTTGGTACACAGTATATCTACAGTGTATAGTCATCCATTATTATCCTCCATTCCCAGAATTATTTTCATGTTGTAAAGTGGGAACTTTATACCCATCAAATAATAAGCCCCATTTGGTGATGGTGGTACACGCTTTTAATCCCAGCACTGGGGAGGCAGAGGCTGGCAGATCTCTGAGTTCAAGGCCAGACTGGTGCACAGAGAGAGTTCCAGGGCAGCTAGGACTGTTTCACAGAGAAACCTTGTCTTGAAAAACAAAAAAACAAAAACAAAAAAATAAATAAATAAAAAATAAAAAAACAAAACAAAAAACTAATAAGCCCATTTTCCCACCAGACCCCTCCCCACCCAGCTCCTGGGAACTCCATTCCCTTTAGACCTCTAGGACTCTAAGACCTTATTGCCTGTCTTTTTCCATCTGCCTATTACCTAGCACAATGTCCGTAAGGTCCATGAAGCATGCTGCGGCATCCATGAGAATTTCCCTCGCTCTATCCCTTTACATAGTCATACACAGTTTGCTTACTCATTAATCATTTGTTGCCATGGATGTTTCTGTTTTGAGACAGGGTCTCTATACTACCTTGGATGACCTTGAACAAACCGTCCCTTCTCCCCCTTCAGCTTCCCACATGCTGGGATTATTGCTCATTTGCCACCATGCCTGGCTTTATCCACTCCTGTTTTTTGTTTTTTCCCTAAAAAGAGTTTCTCTGTTTAGTCCTTGCTGCTGTCCCGGAACTCTCTGTAGACCAGGTTGGCCTTGAACCCACTGAGATCCGCCTGCCTCTGCCCGAAGGAGGCCGTGCTTCCTGCCATTGCACATGACCTCTTAAAAGGAGAAGGAGAGGGGACCTTTCTCCCTGCTCCTGCCTGCAAGACAGATTGGCTCCGGGTCAGTTCAGAGGACGACTTCAGCTGTCTAATCCATTCTGTACTCCTGAGTGTATTTCCTCAATTTACCTTAATAAATTTCCCTAATACTTCTTAAACAGATTCCTGTGGATTTATCACTTTAGCTGATACTTCCATATCACAGTTCATCATGAAAGGAAGTCGGGACAGGAACTCAAACAGAGCAGGAATCTGGAGGCAGGAGGTGTTGCAGAGGCCATGGAGGGATGCTGCTTACTGGCCTGCTCCCTGTTTTGCTCAGCCTGCTTTCTTATAGAACCCAGGGCTGCCAGCCCAGAGGATAGCACCACCCATTATGCGCTAGGCCCTCCCTCCATCAATCACTAATTAAGAAAATGCCTTACAGATGGATCTTATGGGGCTGGAGAGATGGCTCAGAAGTTAAGAGCACTAGCTGTTCTTCCAGAGGTCCTGAGTTCAATTCAAGACAGAGTTTCTTCATCTAGCCCTGGCTGTCCTGGAACTTGCTCTGTAGACCAGGCTGGCATTGAATTCGCAGAGATCCGCCTGCCTCTGCCTCCTGAGTGCTGAGATTAAGGGTGTGCACCACCACCACCTGGCTGCCACAGCACTCTTAGAATTCGACATCGAGATTGGCAGGCAACAGGAAGAGGGAGACACTGGACATGGCTTGGGTTTCTGAAACCCCTAGCCCAACCCCAGTGACACTTCCTCCAAGGCCACACCTACTCCAACAAGGCCACATGTCCTAATCCTTTCAAATAATGCCACTCCCTACGAGCCTATGGGGGTCGTATTCATTCAGACCACCACAGCAGTAGTTACTTTATTACATTAGTACATTCATTTACCAGAACAACAGTTTTTTATTTCCCTCTAGGACCCCGGCCTGCCCAGCCTCACACTCTTGGCCAGCTGAGCAGTGTTTAGGCATGGAGTAGCCTTAGATCCAATCAGACGGTGGTTGGCTGCTCCTCCCACTTTTGTGCCACTACTGCCCCAGCGGATCATCCAGGCAGGTCAACGTTGCAGGACAATAGTTTGTAGCTAGTGTCAACGTGACACAAGCTACAGTCATTGAAAATAAGGGAATCTCAATTGAGAAAATGCCTCCATAAGATCTGGGTTTTTTTTTTTTTAAAGATTTATTTATTATGTATACAGTATTCTGTCTGCATGCCAGAAGAGAGCATCAGATCTCATTATAGATGGTTGTGAGCCACCATGTGGTTGCT